GTTTTAATTTCTGCCCTTTTGCAGAATTCTCTCTTCTAAATTAATTGTTTATCTTGTCTGGTCTTGATTCAGCATTTAGCATGTGTTGCATGCATTTTGCATTGCATGTGTTTTAGAACATCTCAGTGATTGGAACTGTCTTCTAATCAGTTTATTTTGCGTTTGGGAGGTCTCTCTTTTCCTCTGTGCCTCTCTGCACAGTTTGAGCAGGGCTGACAAGTGAATGTGATAATGTGTTAATGCAATCCTGCTTAAACACATAAAAAATTAATTGTGCCATTAATGCATGCAAATGTTTATTTAGTCTCCTGCAGACTCCCATTATGGACCACAGTGTTATTTGACAAAATGCATGAGGAGAAAACAACTCCACAGTCTTGGAGTCAGTGGGTTTAGTCTTGATTACATCTAAGTGACGAATACAGAAACACAAACACCTAGTCTGGGTAATATATTGGCTCACTGCTGCAATTATTAGCACACTTTTATTTTTGTCTTTGTTCTTTCACGCTTGTGCTTACTTTCTGCCATTTTGAATAGATATTTTTGGTTCTCCAGCTCTGTGATTCTATTTCTGTCTTCCTCTTGATTCCTGCCCGTCTAGCTCCTCCTCCTCAGTGAGTCTGCAAACTTAGACAGCACAAACACACAGATCAGTGCGTTGTAAAATCTAAATATATGTTAAGTTAAAAGAGGCTAGAGCTGCTATAAATGTTCTGACAGCTTGCTGTTTTTGTTTTTTTTCCCGTCTCAGGCTGGTGTTGACCGGATGCAATCTACCGTAAGACAGTTTCTGCACGTATGTCACTTGTGCTTTTAACACTTTCACCTTCCGTGGCATGAAAAGTCTCTTCAATGTTGCAGTTTTAATGACATAAAAAGCATCTAAAACATCACAAACACTCCTGACAGCCAGAGATAATTTGCAATGTTTATCATTCCTACAGTCTCTGCTTTGGGATTTAGGAACATTCAGAAACAGATGGGGAAAAGGAGGATTTAAGATGTTGATTCATCCTGAGTTAGAAGGAAACGAATAACCTGCTATAAATCAGTTTTTCCCATACAATTCTATTCCTTTAATTTATTCCTGTTGTCTATGTATTCAATCAACAGTAACGCAACAAACCGGTTTTCAGCTTTGACGCTAATTTATGACAGACAGAAAATTTGATCTGCTTCAAGACTACAAAAAAAGAGAAATCCCAAAAACACACGCACACATATACACGAGGTAATATTCAAATGTACTAACACCTCCAGCTGTCGTTTTATTAATCCTTCAGACTGCAGGTTTCAAAGATCCTAAAGAAAACCTGTTACAGCCAAATAAATAAGCACACTTCTAAATCCTAGCTGAAAGTTTAAGGTTGCTGCACAAAGCCGGTACTTTGTGGTGCAACATCAAGAATCCGATGGATAAAAAAGTTTAAGCAGTTTTAATCCTGCACAAAGGAAACAGCTAATGACTGTTGTTAAAGGCCACTTCGAAGTCAACCGAGATTCCTATTTTTATATTTTTTAAGTGGTTCTCTAATCAACGCCAACATTGATGTGCCAGTTGTGAACGGAGCGCTTCCTTGAGCTAGAGTAACTCTTTGAAGTGATTGACTGGAGGAGCGTAAAGCGGAGTTTTTAAATTAAATTCTTCATTCTTTTTTGTGCTATTCATTTATTCGTCACTACATGTCTGTTCCATGTTGAGCATCAGGTGTCTTTTAAACACAAACAGTTGATCTAATGTAGGTATTTTGTACATGGGTGTGCTTTTACATGAAATAGTTGATTATTTTAGTTAATTAAGTTAAGCAAAAAATAAAAATAAAAAAACTGCAAAGATCTAAAACCTCAAGCAATTTTTATCAATCTGAATCAAAAGAACCGGATCTCTTAAACAACAACTTTGCTAATTTTTCATGTTTGTAAATAATTTTCTTGAGCCAGTATGTGTTAAAACGACCTTTTACAGTGTTAATGAAATGTCACTCAGACCCAACCACCCTCTTTGGCTAGAATGCCGCCCTTGCAACTTCAGCGTGGCGTTCTGGTCCCTGTTAGTCAATAGTAAAGTGGAGTTGACATGCCTGGAGCTGGAGTCAGCTTCCAGCACGTTTCCTGCATGTTTTGTATGGTGAACACAGCTGATTTGTTCGATTTAGTGATGATTTGTTCCTGTAGACACGAATGAAGGCTGAGGAGACATTCCAGCAGTTAGATTCAGGTGTTGAACAAATGAACACAGTGAGGAGGAGAGTTTCACTTTTGTTTTTACTAACGGACAGAAGGAGGCACTAAAAGCAAGCCAAAGCTGCTTAGTATCCGTTTAAAAGACCTGGAATTTCCATCACTTCATTTACAGGTGTACTAAAATTCTGTTTATTAACACTTGGAAACATTGAGCCTCTGTAAAGCATATGAAACTGTCCTGGGTGTATTATATTGCGGCATGGATAATACCAGAAGGGCACATCCGCGGTCTCGTCACTTCCAATCACAGCTCGACTAAGTTGTTTACATGCAGAGGAAATATGGCTCCTGCCACATTATCTAGAACCATTTTGATTTCAACCAGGCTAACATGTTAAATGCATTTAATCTAATGTCAGTTTATTTAAGGCAAGATTTGGTTTTCTTATGCGCATGTTCCGCTGAACGAGGAAGCGATTTTCTGAAAGAGGGGCTGTGCTGTCAGCTGGGAAGCGTAGATTTTGTCATGGAAGCTAGCGTTCTGCTGACTGTCTTCTGGATTGTGGAGCGTTTGGTTCCTGACAAACAGTAAAGTAGAGTCCCAGTAGGTTACATTCTGGAAAGTTAGTGCTTCAAGAATATTTGTTTTCCTTGTGTCCACAAAGATGTTAGCAGCAGTTCAGCCCAGTGTTTAGTTTGGCCTAGCGTTAGCAGTAGCTCAGGCTAGCGTTATCAGTAGCTTGGTGTAGAGTTGTTGTGCAGTTAGCGTTGCTGCGACCAGTTTATATCTTCCAGACACTGAAGTTGGTTTGAACATGTTATCATGAAGCTTTCCTAGAACCGTTTTTTCCTTGTCTTTTCCAGATGACTCGTTTACGTTGATGCAGGTCAGATACAGCTCTGAGTTTTTGGTATCCTAACCGTCTTTATTCAGCAACAAGTTAAATGTGGTTTTTCAATCTACTGCCCCTTTAAACCGCTTTAATGGTAATAGTAACTACGTTCAGGTCCATTTAGGGTTCAGTTTCTTGCCCATGTTCTGGACCGAACACCTTCCCACCAACTCTTGAGTTTCCCAAAAGACAGCAGAAAATATTTCATTCATTGGTCTGTTGAGATTTCATGGCTGTTATGATCTCAATCAATCAATCAATCAATCAATCAATCAATCAATCAATCAATCAATCAATCAATCAGGCTTTATTTATATAGCACCTTCCTCACCCATTACGGGAGGCCAAGGCACTCTTTGTCTGATTCACATCTTTTCATGTTGCATTCAAGGGAAAGCTGTTGTAAGTCGTATTATTCAATATTAAAAAAAAGGATCTGTAATGATTATTACTAAAGTGATGATGATTTTCACAACAAACAGTTCCCCAGCCACTACAGAAAGACCAACATATTTAATTCTATGCAGTTTGTCAGATTATATAAATGACAAGTTAGCAAGCAGTAACCACCTGTAACCAACTCATTAGAATAAGTCGTCGTTTTTTGTTCCATCCTCTTGAACGCATCTTTGAGCGTTTGCTGTTATTTTGTAACAAATTCTTCTTGTCAACCCAGAAGTATAATCTGAATTCAACTTTTTATAAATTATTACTCAGTTCTTTTTGTTTTAGTCAAACAAACACAAACGCAGAGAAAACACAGAACCAGAGAACAGACCTCACCTATCCAACCCAGAAACTGGGCCTTAAAGCCCTGGAAACATGATTGAGGATTAGCTGTGTTCCTGAAGTGGTGAGGCTCATTTTCCATCTTAATCAAATGAACAAAATTATTATTATTATTATTATTATTATTATTATTATTATTGTTGTTGTTGTTGTTGTTGTTGTTGTCATTGTTATTATAGTAAGCAACATTGGCAATCTCCTTCAAGATACAAAAGGAGTAAATAATTTCTGTAGAGTGATGCAAAGTAACTAATATATGTATTATTCAGTGTAAAATTCCATGACTACATCTAAAATAATAATAAAAAAATATATATATATATGTTTTTGTCAAACAATAAAAATAAAGGATCGGAAGGATTTGTAATGAAACTACAAGTAAATTTATAATTTGAAAATGGATTGAAGAAAGTGGATTATGATTGTACTTAAATAAGTGTGTAGTAATAAGATAATTCTGATCGTTATAATAAAAATAATTCAGCCGTAAACATAAACGGACTGAAAACATGTCTGACGAAGCTCAGATACCAACCTGTAGCTGGCACTACGGCGCTTCACTGAGCTGACTGGGTGCAGCTCTTCAGACACCTTTCAGTTTTTCATTTCTATCGACATGTTGGTTAAGCATCTGTCTGTGGCAACATGTTGCTATCTAATTTTATTACAGTTATAATTATGAAAATCTGATGAGAAAGAACTAAAGAAAAGGTTTGTCGACAGATACTCCATTAGTAATTGAATTAGTCTTTAATAATCAAACACTTATTATTATATGCTACATGTTTAATTTGAATCATATCAAATGTCACTGATTAAAAAGCCGACATGCTGCCTTCAGGCGTTGCACACAAACAGCTTCCCCTGATACTAAAATATTCCTAAAAACGTTGATGATGATTTGATAAAATGTCCAAAAAGGCAGCTTTTGGCCCTGGCAGAGCCATTGTTTTTGGGTATTCACCAGCTGTAGGTGCCATCACAAACACATGGCACACATGCATAATAGCTCTCACCTCACCTCACCACACCACCCAGACCTTTACATTCTGGACCCACAAGTCACCTGGCAGGCAGACATCCGGCAAGGATACAAACCCCAAACAGAAATTCTGGTAAGTTGGGACTCACCCTGCAGAGGCAGCAGTGGCGTCGGCAGCAGAGCTGGTCCCGGTCTTCCGTGGTCTCGGTGGTGGCTCTGGCGTCGGGGTCACCACCTGGACTCCAACAACGCGGAGTGCTGAAGCAACACTTTCCTTGGAGAACAAGTTGTCACCATCTTTCTTGCTGCATCTCCACAGTCAGAGGCAGATTCGAAGGAATCCGGCAGACTTCCTTGATGGTTTTTCTCTTTTTTAATATTTTTTTTTGTTGGTTTTACTTTGACAAGAGAAAAAGCTTCTTCCTCTCTCCGCCGCTCTGCTCACGCCTCGCCTTTCTCTCTTCTCCGCATGCCTTCAACAACAACTGAGAGGAGGATGCTCACTGGCACCGGCTGTGTCTCGTCGCCCGTGGCAACCAGTTGCTATAGCGATGGACCTGAGCTCATTGGGAGATGGGGTGATGATGGAGATGTGGGGAGGCCTTTGGAGGGATAGAGGATATGGGAGAATGAAGCAGGTATTAGAAATAAAGGAAAGCATTCAATTATAACTTTATAAATTCAATTAAAGTTTATTTTATTTATTTATATTTATGAGAGTTTAAGACATTTTTTGAGAATTTTCTTTATAAAATGCTGAAAAAATGTGTTTGGGAAACTTTTACATTATCTTTTTAATTATTGAAAGCTCATACGTTGCAAAGATCTTGATTTTTGATTTTATCACTATACTAATAGCTGCGAGCCCCCTATTTTTAGCTCAAGGTCTGCTTTGCTTTATTTTATGGATTTTAGGATCTGCTCCTTCTCCCTCTGTCTCCCCTCGGTAAGTGTTCGTTTGACTCACCTGTCCCTTGTTATCCTACCCACCTGATTCCTGATTACCCTAATGGTTTTAGACCCTCTGTTTGTGCTCCTCATTGTCAGATCCTTGTCGTCCCGCTGTAGTACCATATCTTCCATTATTTGTATTAAAGAGTTTCTATAGCCTGCCAGTCTACCTCCTGTTCTTTCTCACGTGTTTGGGTCCTATTGTAGCCATCACCATTTCATGACTGAAAAGGTTCATATTCTAGGCAAAAGTGTCACACTCTAATCAGCAAATGAAACCAAAAGCTAACAATGTATAACAATGTATAAAAATGTTTAACAATGTATAAAAATGTTTAACAATGTATAAAATGAATAACAGTATTTAACACTGTGGAACAATGTTTAACAATGTTTTACAATGTTTAACAATATATAAGAATGTATAACAATGTATAACAATGCTTAACAATATTTTACGTATAACAATGTTTCATAATGTTTTACAATGTTTAACAATGTATAACAATGCTTAACAATGTTTTATGTATAACAATGTTTTACAATGTATAACAATACTTAACAATGTATAACAATGTTTTACAAGGTTTTAAAATGTTTAACAATATACAACAATGTATAGCAATGTATAACAATGTTTTACAAGGTTTTACAATGTTTAACAATATACAACAATGTATAGCAATGTATAGCAATGTTTAACAATGTATAACAAAGCTTAACAATGTTTTATGTATAACAATGTTTTACAACGTATAACAATGTATATCAATGCTTAACAATGTATAACAATGCGTAACAATGTATAACAATGTTTTACAAGGTTTTACAATGTTTAACAATATACAACAATGTATAGCAATGTATAACAATGTTTTAAGAGGTTTGACAATGTTTAACAATAAACAACAATGTATAGCAATGTATAACAATGTTTAACAATGTATAACAAAGCTTAACAATGTTTTATGTATAACAATGTTTTACAACCTATAACAAAGTATAACAATGCTTAACAATGTTTAACAATGTTTTACATTGTATAACAATGTATGACAATGTATAACAATGCTTAACAATGTTTTACGTATAACAATGTTTTACAACGTATAACCATGCATAACAATGCATAACAATGCTTAACAATGTATAACAATTTTTAACAATGTTTTACAAGGTTTTACAATGTATAACAATATTTAACAATGTTTTACAGTGTATAACAATGTTTAACAATGTTTAACAATGTATAACAATGTTTAACAATGTTTTACAAGGTTTTACAATGTTTAACAATATATAACAATGTATAACAATGCATAACAATGCTTAACAATGTTTTACGTATAACAATGTTTTACAATGTTTAACAATGTTTTACAATGTATAACAATGCTTAACAATGCATAACAATGTATAACAATGCTTAACAATGTTTTACATATAACAATGTTTTACAATGTATAACAATGCATAACAATGTTTAACAATGTTTTACAATGTTTAACAATGTTTTACAAGTCACTCTGGATTAATACAAAGTGTTACCTAATCCCTGCAATATAAAGTTCCGATCTTCTGTTTAAAGGTAGTATTCAAAGATACATCAAATTGATTCCATATTTTCTATGGAATCTCACCTTTGATGGTTTCCTACGTAAGATGTAACTATTGAACCACAACATATTTGGCGAACCAGCCCGTTTATTTGTACATTTTGACACTTCGTGTTGACTTTGAGTCATTTTAACTATCAAAACACTCAAAATGTATTTACAATTTGATGTTTTTGGTTGAAAAGAGGCAATATCATTATCAGCCACTAGAGTGCAGTCGACCTCCATTTAACTCACTAAAAGTGGGTGACACAAGTCACCTTCGACAGGAGGCACTGATTCATCTCTCACCTAAAGCTGACTCACTGACTAGCTTTAGCTTCCATATTGGATTTTCTCTAGCCACAACCAAAGCACAGGTTTGTTCCTGCTGTCATTTTATACAAAGCATTTATTATCTTTTATGTCTTTTCTGAGTGTATTCGTGAACACTGTGTATATTCTTGTGTAACTGGATATTTTCTCCCAGAAGCTTCGCTTCCCCCAGTTACCATTTGATCCCCGGTGGCCATCCCATTAGTGTGACGTTAGCATCGAAGTGCTGACAGTCTTTATAAGTTAAACGAAGAGCGAGCTGCAGCAAGAACTGTACATGCTATTTGTCTGAAAAATTAACACGAATGCCTCGCGAAGGTTCGGTTATTCGGGTGGGTCAGTTCTACGAGAATTAGACCATAAAGTCCCGGTTAACTACCAGGCCCGCTAGCTTAGCACAGCTTTCAGCTGCTAACTAGTTTCGGTTCGACAGCCGGGCCTCGTGAACTCGGACAATTTGTCAACTGACTGATACAGTGATTCTGTGTCCTAAAGTCCACTTTTTCCTACGGGATAAAGCTCCACTCCAGTGGAGCAGATTTAAGTGGCGTTTTTAACACTTTTTGTGTGAAAATGAAACACGGGCAGCCATCTTGGCTCACCGCCATCTCGTGTGGGTCCTCAGCCATCTTGGCTCACCGCCATCTTGTGTGGGTCCCAAGCCATGCAACGTCTGTCACCACCCCGTGGCACCTTTGTACATTACAATTCTTTTGAAAAAAAAAATCACTTTTGATTTTAACAATGTATGAGGAAGAACAACTGTGTTTTCCCTTTGTGGGTAGACAAGTTATTGACGCTGGAACAGCATGTGTAGGTTCTACCAGCATGATTGTTCACAGTTTTGATGGCAACCTGCAGAATTGTTCAGTTAATGACCTGATGAGTATTTTGATGACACACTTGGAAAATTTGTCCAAAGAAGGTGAGAAAGTGAAGCCAGCTGCCCGCACAGAGAACCTGGTGGGATTTGCTGTTCTACTAGCTCATCTCTGGGACAAAGCAGTTAGTGCTCATGTGGAAACACAAAGTGCAGTGCTCACACTTTCTGACCAACAGCAAAACAGAGGAGCCTGTGGTTCCAACTCTGAGGACAAACAGCACAGCAAGGAGCTGATGGAAGCTCGGAAAGGGCTGAACGAAGCCCTGACTGAAAATGCAAATTTGTTGCATGACAAGATCCAGATGGAGTGTCAAGTTGCTACCTTGGAGAATCATCAAATCAAATCAACTTTATTTATATAGCACTTTTCATACAAAAAAATGCAACTCAAAGTGCTTCACAGATTAAAATGGCCCCATAGATCCCATATTCCCATCCCAGCCCCCCTCCCCAAGTATAAAACAATTGACAATTACGGTTCCCCTCCCGCACCCAACTTCCAAAGTGGACATACAATCACCCGCACACTCGTCCATGCACACACACACACACGCACGCACGCACGCACGCACACACACACACACGCACACACACACACACACACGTGAACAACAGAGGAAACAATAGGCTGAGTTCAGATGGGTCAGGTAATGAACGACACATCATCAACTGAGCCATCTGCCCTGACAGCAGCAGATCCACGGCAGCAGCCAAGACACCGGCCCATGACGCCCAGTGGGGGAGGGCAGAAACCCCCACCACTGCCCGGGCACTGCCCGACCACCGGCCCCAAGGCAGAGGGCTCCGCAAAGGAAACACTGGAGGATTAAAATATATAACTGTAAAATAACAAAAGCTAATATGGATAAAAAGTAACTGATAAAAAGTGATTATAAAGATAGTAAAAGAAAACATAATCATGTAAAAACACTAAGATGTAAATAAAATGATAAAATTTATTAAAAGAGATAAATATGTACATATACAGTGGAGCAAAAAAGTATTTAATCAGCCACCGATTGTATAAGTTCTCCCACTTAAAATGATGACAGAGGTCAGTAATTTTAATCATAGGTACACTTCAACTGTGAGAGACAGAATGTGAAAAAAAATCCATGAATTCACATGGCAGGATTTTTAAAGAATTTATTTGTAAATCAGGGTGGAAAATAAGTATTTGGTCACTTCAAACAAGGAAAATCTCTGGCTCTCACAGACCTGTAATGTCTTCTTTAAGAAGCTTTTCTGTCCTCCACTTGTTACCTGTATTAATGGCACCTGTTTGAACTCATTATCTGTATATAAGACACCTGTCCACAGCCTCAAACAGTCAGACTCCAAACTCCACTATGGCCAAGACCAAGGTGCTTTCGAAGGACACCAGGAAAAGAATTGTAGACCTGCACCAGACTGGGAAGAGTGAATCTTCAATAGGCAAGCAGTTTGGTGTGAAAAAATCTACTGTGGGAGCAATTATCAGAAAATGGAAGACATGCAAGACCACTGATAATCTCCCTCGATCTGGGGCTCCACGCAAGATCTCATCCCGTGGGGTCAAAATGATCACAAGAACGGTGAGCAAGAATCCCAGAACCACACGGGGGGACCTGGTGAATGACCTGCAGAGAGCTGGGACCACAGTAACAAAGGTCACCATCAGTAACACACTACAACGGCAGGGAATCAAATCCTGCAGTGCCAGACGTGTTCCGCTGCTGAAGCCAGTG